CTTTGTTGAAACCACAAATGAGTTCATGAAATGAAAATTATTTCCTAAGACTGTAGAAGCCTTAAACTTACACTGTCACAGCTTCTTGACGCCTTTACAGTTTTTATGGAAATCATTTTATTTGAATTCTTTTTCAAGATGTAGCGCCTCTAATTAAAATGAGTGTTGGACTTTCCTCTGCCTCTTGTTTTACTTGAGAAGGTGGCAATAAACGCGTTATAAACCAGAATCCAGCCACTAAGGGCCACAGGCAGCCCAGTTAATGTGGCACTAAGGCACTGGGATTACACAAAGTACATTAGGTTCTAAGCAAATAACAGCAACATCTTTAATGAGCCATTTGATTGCCAGTCAACACCAAGAACAACAAACACAATTAAAGTCCATTTAGAGCTGTGAGCAGCAAGCTAGGGGTTTTCTAACGTCTGCTTTTGGAGTCTCTTATTCAGATCAACAGGCCCTGGCCGGGGGACTCGGCTTCACTGCCCGCCTCACCAAATAAAGGGAACCAATGGTGGGTACCAGGATCGGCAATCCATGGTCATAGCCTTCCTGGTGTCCTGGCATTCAAGGTGCTTTCTGCTACATTGGGATGAAGATGAGAAGCCCAAACACTGTTTCCAAGACTGCTGGATATCCATCTAACATGGTCAGCTGTAAAACTGTGAAGTTGTTTCTAGAATGAATCTTCATTCTGAAAATTACCTAACAATGGATGAAAGTATCCAGAAGAAAATCCGAGAACCTTCAGATGCTCTAGCTAGAATCTTAATGAAACAGAGAGAGAGAAAGAAAGAGAGAGAAAGAGATCCATATGTAGCTAAATCAAAGTATGTTGATAAAAAAAAGTCTCGAATTTGACAGAATGACCATGCTTTACACAGCTGCTCTGTTGTTTTTTAAGCATACAGCTCATCTGAAGCCTTTTCATAAAGAGGTGAGAAAAATACTCTTTGCCTTGGTAATAACATATATTGGGAAATTAAAAATCAATTAAACTAAAAATTAAAAATCAGTCTAAGGGTATCAATCAGGCTTCAGTGAAACTGGCCTTATGTCCTGGGTTACAACCCATGCCAGCACTTCCTACAGGCCTACCACCTACACTAATGTGATTAGACATTGGAGGTCAATGTTCTTTCCTACCCTGGCTGCTTCGGGGTCGTTGCCATCATGGAATCATAGACTCTGGACTACAAAGCTCATGACAAAAAAAAAAAAAAAAAAAAAAAAAATCCACAAATCTACACATGTGAAGAAAAGGGACCATACAAGGATGTGAAGACCAAGAGACAAGTATCATTGAGGGCAGTGAAGGTTGCTTTCTAATTCGGTCCATTTTTCATTGCTGTAGTAAAATACCAGAGGGGAAATAGCAAATAGAGAAAAGAGATTTATTTGGATTATAGTTTGGGAGACTGAATGTGTAATGTGAGGTGGCTGTACTTTTTTGGCTTTTACTGGATGTCTTGTGGTGATGGTGTCTTGGCAAACACGTGGCTGGGAAGGTCATATCATGAGATAAAAGTCCAAAGACAAATCAGGGGCCAGATTCTACATTTTTGCATGTAGCAATCTTCCAGGTTCCAGGAGAAATACCTGAAGCCTTCTGGAGGTGTGCCATCAGTGACCTAGCAGTCTCCATTAGTCTCCACCTCTTGGAAGTCCACTTCCTCACCACAAGTAACACTAGTACTCTGAGCACCAAAATTACAACACATAGTCAAACTACAACAGTTCCCTGGCTATCTGTGTGTCTATGAATGTGCATTCCTAGAGATAAACACAAAGACATCTGTGCACACATGGATATGTGCATACATATTCACACAGAAGATACATGCTTCAAGTGTCTGATTATTACACCACTGTGATAAGGCGCCACTTCCCTGCCAGCATTAATAAGACTTAGGGAAATCTTTGGCAACTCTCACCAAGCCCAAACTGAAAATAGATAATTCCATTGACTTCACACATTTCAACTGCGCAGTTGAAGCTAATTTTTGTAAACTATGTGGTTTTCACCCTACATATTCTCCAGTTTCAGGCAAGAGTCCTGCTCGCAGCATGCTTACTGAGAAGACCTTGCTGTGGTCCTCCTCATGTGACTCTGCTCCACCCCCATGGCATCCAGCTATGTACCTACTGAGCTCCTGCTTTGGGTGGTTTTAACTCTGTTCTTAGGGATTTGAAATGCTGCAGGTGTACTCTGAAGGAGTACAGTGGGGTGGGCTCCTCTCTGGACTCTGCGTGCGGGGATAGGCCACACCCCTACAATCAATTGCAAATGCAATCAATCAAATGCAAAGAGATCCTTTATTAAGGAAGGCAAGGGAAAAGGTGGCAGAATCAGAAACAGCAGCAAACAGCTTTGCAAGTGTTAACTATAAGAGGGAGAAGGGGAAGGTCTGTGCTAGAATGAGTTAGGACATGTTGGAAAGATTTGATCAGGTATTTTAATTAGGTTAATCAAACCAATGAATTTTGATTGCTGGACTATTGATGTTTTGATAGTTGGTGATCACTCTGGGGAATAAGTCAGTGGGGAAATAAGGGAATAGACCTTGGTGGCTATCCCTAAAGATAGGGATAGAGGGAGGGAGGTAAAAGGCCAAACCTGTGGCACCATGTTTGCCATACTTGGGCCTGCTGGAGCCCTTCATGCTCCCCTAGACCCAAAGGGTAGAAATGATTGCTTACTTAGAACAGGAAAAGCCTGGACAGTGTGAAGTCATACTGAATCAGGCACAAGTTTGCAACTGAAAATTATTTGGTTGCTTTTGTGTGTGAGCTTTCTCTCTCCTCCAGACAACATAGAACTGTTTCTGAACAAGAATTGCTTCCTTTTCCTGAGCAGACAGGCCTTTGAGAATCACAAATGAATGCTGGTAAGGAAGAAAGCATGAAAGTCGGGATGGCTGCTTGACTGAGAGAACCTGAAGAGAACTGCACGTGGGCAGTGTCCTCCAGAGCCCTGATGGCAAAGATGGGAAAAGGAGGTGCAGGGAGACTCATGTTTCCTGTTGCAACTCCAAACCAACCACCACCCTGGTAAGCTCAAAAAAAAAAAAAAAATAACCCTGGTCAAAACCCTTAGGTGACACCATCATGCAGATGACACCACTGCAGGTGGCGTCACAATCAGGGACATCAAAACAGGAAACAGCCGTAAAATGTGATTGAGATTTGTGTTCTTGCCCTTAGGTCGGCATGGTAGAAAGTAGGAGTTAATGGTCATTTTATCTACTAAATACTTTTTACTCAGTTAAACAACAACAAAAAAGGTATGCAAGCTGATCATTGGAATTATCTAAGGAAACACCAGAGACTTTTTAAGCCATGTGGGTTTAATAGTAGACCATCACACAAATAGTTTTTCTCACATATTTTTTACTGCAGAACACTTCTTTTTAAATACCACCACCTCTAAATGTCAACAGTCTCCAAAATAAGTTTCATGTAAACACTACAACCAATCTTCGTAGGATTGTGCAATTAAATTATAAAAATTTTAAGCAAATTTTCAACTTAATTTTGTTTAAAATAAAAATGTGAGATCCAGTGACACTAAGTGACTTACTAGTTGGCCAACAACTAGTTAATGTGAGGCTAAGCCCCACATGCCCCAACTTGGTGCACAGGCCCTTTCTTCTCCTCCAAACCCACACACACGATGCAAGAGAGCTTTCAAACTGGGGTATGCACACCGCTGCAGGCAATGGCAGGATGCCAGGGAGGTGAAGCCACAGGATAAACACAGGGTGTCTTGCTTCAGTGTAAATATTACTCAAAGATTTGAGAAGAGTTAGGGGAACCACTTTATTTTTATTAAAACAAGATTGATTATAAAGGAGGCTGCACATTCGAAATGAATTTTTAAGACTTCAGGCTGGGTTCTGGTGGCTATCATCCTAGGCACGTGATGGAAAAGCCTTCTGCTGGCCCTGCCAGGGATGCTTGCTAAATTAATAATATTTCACTAACATAAAGACATCTGTGAAGGGGTTTTTATGCTAAAGCATCCTCTGTAGCCTCTGTCTCTGACCTTCTGTAGTTAGGTTTGCATTGTTTTAACCCACGCAATCACTAAGTAGTAACATTTTTCAAAAGACCGCAGGGAGATGAGTCAATGAGGGCTCAAGGCAGGGTGCATGCCTAACAGCACGAATTCTATTCCTGGGACCCACATGGTAGAAGGAGAGAAGAAACATCCACTGTTCTCTTTCTATCTCCCTCCCTCACACACAAAATTAGGAATGTTTTTTTAAAGATCTTATAGTGATTCTGAAGCCTCATTTCTAAAAAAAAAAACTATTTTGTTGCATTTATAAAATTTTATTTTTAACTATGCTTGATAAAAACTAAAATGTCATAAGATTAAAAAGGATAAATTTTTCAAATACAATTTTAGTAGAAATTAAATGGAAGATGTTTGTACAAGTTTTTCTCTTTTTTTTTTTTTTTTTTGCCTGTGGTTTTAAAACTATGTGAGATCTACAAAGTTGAACAAATGCTGTGTTTTGTTATTTCTCCACGCAGCTATATCAATGATACCTGAAATGCTTAAATACAATAAATGCAAAAATGGAAGACAGGCCAATAAATTAGTTTATTCACTTTTTATACACTTCTTTGATGAGCTATATCTCTCGTCTTATTTCAGGCATAATAACCACCTAAACAGCCAGGGGATTACCCCCTCCGTGTTAATTCCAGCCCCAGGCTCTTTATTCCTCAATGGAGCACATCTTCAGAGCTCTCTCTATTCCAACACCATTTTTTAAATACAGAGCAACTGGATCCACTTCAGAAAACCACATTTGATTTCTCGACGTCAGGTTCAAATTTGGAGACGAGAAACCAGCTCCTTCAGTTCAATCAAAATTTATTAACGCGGTGCATTACGTCCTGGCAGAAGACAAGCGACACCACAAACTGGATCCTGGTTTAAAAGTTCGCCCCGTGCAGCAGCAGAGAGAACCCTGCAAAGAGAAGTCGACATGACTGGTTCCGAGGCAACGGACGTACACAGCAACAACAACAATAAAAATAAAAGCTGTGTTACAAGAGGTTTGCCGAAGGAAGCACTTGTCCACTTGAGGCTGATGTCAGCAGGAGGCTCTGTTTTCCTGTGTGCTTGGACTTTTGGGGAACCTCGACACCGCCAACCTGCCTCACTTTCCATCCTAGGTCTGGGGCATCATGAGGCCGTAGAGCAGATGTTAGGGGTATCCCAACCTCAGCATTTGAAATGAAAAAAAAAAAAAAATCTTAGTGCTACGCTTTCAAATCAAATAAAAATCGATGTAAAATAATAACCCACGAAGAGTAAAAGGTTAAGTTTTGTGTAAGAACGAAATCGTAACGTTTTTCCCGTATGTGTGGGGATGCAGCAGAGAATGGCCTGCCTCCTCCCTTCCACAGCTGCCAGGGGTAGCTCACTCCCACACACGGTGCTCACTCGCCCTCTCTGAAATTTTTGCGGGGCAGCTGCTTGTTCTGACCCTCACTGCCAACGCCTGGTCGCTGTCTCAGTACCGCGTGGCCTGTACACCCCGCGGGGAGCGAGCGGGCGCAGGAGGCGCTGAGAACCGAGGAAACGTCACAGAGCGTCTGGTTCCAGGACCTGCCTCATTTGCACCGGCCTTTAGCTGACCGACGGTGGGAAGGAACATGCGGCCTTGGCCAAGCCCGGTGGACTGCTGGTGCCCCACGCCTCCATAACTGTCCTGATGTCCAGAAGCCGGAAGACGTCCTCGCTCAGTCCTAGCTCCGGCCGCAAGGCAAAAGTTCCCTGGAGTCTCAAGGTAAAAGGCTAGATCAACGGCCTGGCACCCAGGTTGGGCTGGGGGCAGGAGCTGTAAAACGGTGCTCTGCTCTCCTGGAGGCTGCCCCTGGGGTCCTGGTAAAGGGGGCTTCTGCAGTGCTAAAGTCCACTCAGCTAACCCCAACTCCCTCTAGCTAAGCTGCAGAGCAACAGTCACCGTGGTTTGGGGACGGCTAGGGAGCCACGCTAAATTCGAACTTGGACTGTGTTGCACGGGTGTGCCTGTGTGCGCCCGCGCAGGAATTAATGACCAGAGATGTTTTCAAAGGTTTTAGTGTAACATTTAAGCATTCTGAAATTTCAAAATATTATCTTCCTGTATCTAAATTCTGAGACAGTGGGTAGAGGAGAAAGCTGCTGTTCTCTCTCTGAGGGGAACCTCCGATTGTGAATCTGTATTGGATTGTTTTCATTTTCTTGGTAAAGTACTAATTAACTTGAAATCAGAGCCCCCCCCCCCCCAGACACACTCCCACCCATTAGCCCAAGCAAGATGCTGAAACAGTTCCCATATTCGACATCATTCTGGAATAACAACGGCTCCCACTCGGTACAATACTGCAGACCTAAATGCTACCTTCTTAAAAGTCCTACCGGGGCTCACACTGCCAGTGTTTTCTCCACCTTTGTGTCCTTTCCCTCCTCAGCTTGCTTCCCTCCTGCTTTCCCATGATCCTGCACTTTGCCATGACCTTACATGTGTCCTTTTCTCTCCCTCTGGAGTGACTCAGCCAGGTCTGCAGATTCACCCTTGAGTTTCTGATGGGACCTGCGTTCATTCACACTCAATAGTTTTCCTTTGGACACCTTGACCTGTATTGTATATTGTATGTTTCATCAAGAACAAAGTTTCAAGGCTCTCCCTGATGTCTGCTTCTTCTTTCCAGGTGCTTTTTCTCCTCATCAAGCGGGTTATAATGACACTGTCTTCATCGTTTTGTGGCATTACCGCTACCATTTGCATGGGCCTCCTTCCTGTTGCCCTGCCTTCTCTATCGACACAGCGTGTGATATTCTCCATTGCTAACTCCCACTCCCTGTCACCCAGGCATTCTGGATTTCTCTGAGGCGGCTTTGCTTCCTGTATGTACCTCTCAATGCACCCTAGCCTGCTAGAGAACTCTTTTGCAAGCCTGTCACAACCTTTCTTAAGTCCAAAGACTCAGTAAGATGCTTGTCCCATCCCGAGTTAAGTCCAGAGCCACAATTTGCAAGAGTTAACTAAGTCCACGTTTTAGGTACCAACAAGGGCAGGGCACCAAAGGAGAAATATAAACAAGCCTTTGAAATAATGAAACGTTCCCACGGGACATCGGTGAAAGACACTGATGTAGCTGTCACGTGAAAAAAGTAAACCTTCATTAGAGTTTCTTTTTGGCTGTTACCAGGTAGTTAATTTGTATACATATATGTGTGTGTATAGACCATCTGATATTATGTTAGTATCAAGTGACGTACAGAAAATATGTGGTTTTCAGTTCTAGGTATTGAAGCCCATAAAAGTTTTATTTGGGCAATAATTAGGGCACACTTACAAATCTAAATTTCAAAGTTAATGCTCGTAATATGATTCCCAAACACCTTCCTTAACTTACTCTCCTGCTTGCCTTCCATAGGCCTTTCCTTTACACGCAAGGCTATGCAGTGCTGATGGCTTTCACTTTTTATGTCTTGTGTGCCCTGAGTACTCTGCCCTTTCTTCCACCAAAATCCTGGTTCTTTTCTTGTCACTCGTTAAGCCCAGCCTCTTGGTCCTGCCCTGAAACCTCATCAGCCAGAAGAGCAGGAATTTCTCCTTCCTCTACCTTTGTTGCAATGTATCTCCCTTTCTTACTGCCCTGAACATTTGCCACCTTGCTGTATCTCACTTGATAGCCCTTCCTGTGCCCGACTTAAAGATCTGTTCATAGATGGCAGGTGTCTTACTGAACTTATCTATTGCTTTACCAGGTAAACCTACAGAATAGTCACAGCCTCAACTGACTAGTCTCTAGGAGTTTCAATTGGTGGCTGAGTGGCTGTATTTGGATCTATGTTTTTTTTAAATGTTTCTTTTAAAGAATGTCAGCCATGTCTATTCATCATAGAAAATGGCATAAAAATACAGCAAAAACAAACAAACAAACAAGCTGGGGATCAGAATTACTGTATCATTTCTCCATCTTTATCTAAGTGAAGTGGAAGGGAGGGGTTTACACAGAGCGCTGCACACTTGTGTTCATAGTTGCATTTTGGCCATAACAAAAAGGTAGATCTCCCCACTTGTCTGTCTATATAAACATATAGATACAGTGGACTGTCAATGAGCTTTACAAAGCAAATTTCTGATACATACTACCATATACATCTCGTTTGTTTTGGTTTGGTTTTGGCTTTAGTTTGGCTTGGCTTGTTTCTTTTTCGAGACAGGGTTTCTCTGTGTAGCCCTGGCTGTCCTGGACTAGCTTTGTAGACCAGGCTGTCCTCAAACTCACAGAGATCCGCATGCCTTTGCCTTCCCTAGTGCTTGGATCACAGCCTGAGCTACCCTACCACTCCCAGCTTTACCATATAAATCTTAAAGGCCATCTGCTGACTGAAATAAACCAGTCACCCATGGCCAAGTGCTGCCGAGGGCTGTAGACAGACTCGCACAGCATCAGGACACACAGTGATATCTGCCTGCCAGTTCTTGGGTTCAGGAAGCATGTGAAGGGTGCAGCTTCAGTTAAAGATGGAGGGAAGGTTCTGGAAAAAGACAGCAGTGATGGTTAAAGGTTTCGTGCGGATGAAAGTCCCTGAGGATATCCCTGATTCTACAAAGCTATAAATCTGAAAATAGCAAAAGTGGTAAAATGTGTGTGTTTTACCACAATACAAAAATCATCAGGCAAGGATGCTGGAAGACCTTTTAAGGGAAGGGATGGACGCACTGCCAGTGAAGCTCTTGGGGGTGGGAGACGCTGCTAGTGACACCCGAAACTGCACACCACACTTCGGTGGCACTTAGGTATTCAAACATTGTAGTGGAGTCCTACAAAATTACTGCATGAAAAGAAACATGCCATATAAAAAGTGATTAATTGTGCCTGTGATTTGCAACTTACGGTGACATCTGCAATATTCCCATTCTTCCCTTACTTTTTCTAAAGTTTTTAGAGCCTTAAATATTTCTTCCATGGCTAAAAGTTTGAGAATACATAATACCTTCTGGTCATCAAGCTAACACGTTTATTATAATATATTCACACACTTAATGCATGACCTTGAGCTAGGCACTCTGGCATGGCCAACAGCCCCAGCGACTCAGGAAGCTAAGGTGGGAGAGTCACTTTCATCAGGAGTTCAAGATCAGCCTGTATAACTTAGCAAGACCCCATCTCAACACACACATTTATTTTATATGTAGCACATATGCATTCATATAGAATATGTATTCTAGAAAGCAAAACTTCCTCATAATCCTATGATGGCTATTGTTTTCCTTTGGCGGCATGTATATTTTATAGGTACTTTTTAAAAAGAAGACAGTTAATGTTGACTTACACAGATTACCTTGGCAATGACTTTTTACTTTTTATAATTTATTCACTCCACATCCCAATTGTAGCCCCCTCCCTTGTCTCTTCCCAGTACTACCCTCCCTCCCCTCCCCCCTGTTCCCTTCCCATATTTCTCAGAAATGGGGAGTCCTCCTTCTCTACCATCTTGACTCCAGCCTATCAAGTCTCATTAGGGCTGCCTGCATCCTCTTCCTCTGTGGCCTGGCAATGATGGAGTCTTTCAGGGGATATCTGTGGTAAGCTCCTGTCCTGTTCCCTCTCTTCAACCACTTCTGGTGTCTATCCCATTTGCCTTTCTGAATGAGAATTAAGCATCCTCCCTAGGGTCCTCCTTGTTATTTAGCTTCTTTGGCTCTGTGGATTGTAGTATGTCTATCCTGTATTATATGGCTCACATCCACATATAAGTGAGTATATTCCATGTGTATCTTTCTGGTTGTGGGTTACCTCACTCAGGATGATCTTTTCTAGTTCCATCCACTTGCCTGCAAATTTCATGATTTCCTGTTTTTAATAGTTGAGTAGCATTCCATTGCACCACATTTTCTTTATCCAGTCTTCAGTTGAGGGACATGTAGGTTGTTTCCAGATTCTGTCTGTTACAAATAAAGCTGCTATGAAGACTTTTTACTCAAAAAAAAAAATGTATGTCTAGATATCTGTCTCTATTATTGGTCTCCAGGGAAACAGAGCCAATAAAATACACAAGCACAGGCAGAGATTTACTAGCAGGGGTTGGCTCACCTGGGGAGAAGAACTGGAACTCTGAGAACCTGGGGTCTGCAAGCTGGAAGTCCTAGAAAGGACACAGCCTAGTTCCCGTGCAGGTCCAGTGGCGGATGGCTGGGAGGGAAGATGCCCAGGAGGAGAGGAAGATGGTCCAACTCCATAAGTAAAAATGAACATGCATATCTTTGCCTTTCTCTTCTCTTTTCAGCACTCAGTGGACTGGGTCATGTCCAGCATATCACCGGGAATCAGCTTTTCTTGTTGTTGTTGCTCAGACTGACAGTCCAAATGCCAGTCTCTTATGGAGACACACTCACCAACTCTTACAGACAATGTTTTAACAGCCTCCTCGGCATCTCTTGGCCCAGTCAAGTCAACACATAAAATTTATCTTTAGACCCTTCACTGTAGTTTTAAACTCCTAGGCAACTATTCCAGTGTGAGGACACCTTAACTGATAATCCAACTGTTGGAAATATTTTATAGCCACAGAGAAGTATGCTGAGATTAACAATAATATGTTTCTCTGTGCAAACCTAACTGTGCCTCTCAGTAATGATGGCTAGATGAAGCTAAAAGCATTATTATAACTTTAACAGAATAAAAAATTTATTCCACTTTGGGCCTACCTCGCTTTGCAGTATTGTGATTGACTACAGGTACGGCAGGCTGAGAGTTTAGATGAGTAAGCTGAAACACCCATCTGAGGACATCTAAACTTGACTCAATGACTTCTTTTAAGATTTGTTTTGTATAAGTGTAAAATATAATCAGAGGTATTGGAAAACTTGAGCCCACGCCTAGAAATTCTCCCAGCACCCACCTCAGCTTATTGGACAAAGAATCCAGGAAAGTGAGGGACTGGGAGTTTATAGTCATTCTCCTTCGCTAGGATAGTTGCCTTTCCCAGTTCCTTAAGTATTCGTCCCACTCACACTCTACCTTCTCTACGTCTCTGCTGAGTAGTCAATCCACTCTCAAAACCTTGTAAACCACGTTCTGTCACTGCAGTCTTACCACCCACAACAAATCCCCATGGAAAATCTCTGATTGTTTTGATTCTGATAATTACGATGTTTGTGGGCTCCAGAACCGCACAGTGACCCCTTCACTTTTGTTGCATCTTGTTAGCTCTACTCTTTCATGGCCCATTATAGCCAGGCTGTAATTTTTCCATATTATTCTCAGTTGGGTGGCCTACAAATGTTTATGTGGTAATTATTAAAGAAAAAGCAAAGGGCGTCATAGCTGCTGCAGGCCTGGACTTTAAAATAAAGCCTGTGGTAATAAAATGGAAAATGTATTAATTTACTCAGAGGGGGAAAAAAAATGACATTTATCACTTGTTTGATACTTGTAGAAAACTTACTGAAGTGGGCCATTGAAAGAACATCTCTGAAAATGTACATTATATTTTACTCTTTCTGCCTCTAACCTGGCTCTAGTGTTTTCTATAAATCCAAAATCCTGTCAAACTCTAATTCTTCATGTATGAAGGAACATTTAAGAATATCTGTTAAAGAGCCAAAATACCCTACCTCATAAAGAATTAACTTACTTGTGGTATGTATACACACATTCGTATTTTTTTTCCTCCCTGGTTAAAAGTTATTTACACATCTGTGCCTAAGGTTAAAAATAATGAGATTCAACCACAAAGATGAGTAAATAATATATAATTGTAGTGTTGGAATTTATCAATTTAGAGTGGTTGCCTCCATATTTGCCTTCCTTTTGATCTCCCTGTAGACATATTGTTATTGACTGCAAATGTCTCGGTATTTTTGCTCATTGGAATGTGCTTTGACAGATTAATTATATGTTATCAGGCAGTTGAAGATCAGCTAAAGATATGTGGCCACAAGAGGGATTCTGATGTCTCTGAGCTGTTCCTTTCTAAAAAGTAAGTGTGCTTTATGGAAAAAATAAAAACCAGAAGAGTATCATTTTATAATGTTTTGTAGAGGCAGTTTTTTCATTACCCCTTCTTCAAGGACTGTGTTGGCAACCACAGTCTGATTACATTACCACTTTTGAGTGTCTGACACTTATACTGAAGAGGCAAGACACAGAAAAGGGTAAAATGCAGAGGTTATAATCTTGATGTGTTACGTAACTTTTCTCCTAGGATTACCACATTTAAAAGCAAATAGAATACCAGATAAATATGAATGTTAGAAAAACGGTGAACATAATTTTTAGTATCACTATGTTCCAGACAATATTTATTTCTCAAAAACTGCAAATATTAACCAGATTCCTCTTTATTTCCTTCAGCAATTCTACCCTTGCATAATACTACAACTTTTTTATAAGATTGCTGGGACATGTAGGAGAGTTAGAAACTAAAGAGAGATCTAGTACATAGTAAACACTCAGCTATCATTAGAACTATAATGATGATGATGATGATGAGTAATGGCTCATTGCTTTCATAATATAAAACCCACTATTTTACTATAACTCCTAAAATCATATTAATTTTGTTACCAATTAGGAAAATCTCTCCGTTGCATCAAAGAGCTGTTCTATAAAACACAGTAACCCTGGTGTCTGTGACAGAACCCAAGTGTAAGAGGGAGAGGAAGTGATGGGTATGGTTGGACTCTGGCCACACTGCATTTCTACTGGCCAATAAGTGACATCCTGCATGGACACTGTTTATGTTTTAATAGCAATAACACTGCTCTGACTCATATACATCCCTCAAAATTCAGACTTGAGAAGCTAAACCTTTAATGGAGCTGTGCTAAGAAGCAAGACCATTAAGAATGGGTCATGAGAGTGCTGCATTTCATTCATGGCTTAATGCCATTGTTACTGAAAGAGGCTCATTGTTGCAGAGGCGAGTTCCTGATGAAAGCAAGTTTGGTCCCCAACCTACACACATCTTCACTGTATCATAATGCAGAAGGAAGATCAGATAGTATCTTGACCTTGGGCTTAGCAGCCTCCAGAACTGTAGGAATTATATGTCTTTGTCCTTTCTCTGTGGTTAAGGATGGGAGTAGGGAAAGAAGATGAATAAGAGCAGAATTATCCAAAAGGGCATCATACCATTCCCAAGTATGTTTGATCATGCCACTGCTCTGCACTGCCTTCTTCTTTTCAGGCAAAGCATGCCATTTCTACCATCCTGTGAGCTGGTTTGTGGATGTCTCTGTCCCCCTCTGTGCCAGTCACTTTCCTTCAGGTTCTTGGGTCTGTTAGTCTTCGCTAGGGCCAGGGCAAGAAAGGTATTCCCACAGTTGCAGTGCTTAGAAACATAGCTCCTCCGTGAGGCCAGCAAGAGTCCTTCCTGTCAGTGAGCAGCGTTCCAGGCACAGATGTGTTCTATAGCTAACATGGGCAGATGTTGAGTGTTGTGCTTTGCACATGGGAAAGAACCCATATCATGAAAAGCCCCTAGAATGTTAGAAATAGAGATAGTCCAGAAGTTGCAGTCAACCAGGGTACACCATTGGCTGTTAGCTCATCAAAATAAACAGGTGAGCATGCAATTGGGAACACGCACCATAGAAACATATCTCTGTCATTGTCAGGATCATACTCTGACCGGGGAAAAAAAATGGGGAGGAGATCTTTTTTTTTTTTTTCTTTCTGATAGAGCCTGAGGAAGAAACAAAAGATTCATCTCCTGCCTTGTTTCTATCCTGAGGCTTGTCAAGTCTGTTCTTTACAAAGTACCCACTTTCAGGTAGTGGGTTACAGGGAAACAAAATGGACAAAGACTGTATTGGCATTCCTTTTTGTTAACTTGTCATATTTATTGGTATTGAGAGCTGAGTAGAAAACAAGTTTAGAAAATGAGTTCTCTCCTTCTACCATGTGGGACCCAGGGATCAAACTCAAGCCTTCAGACTGGCTTTTTACCTCTGTGACATTTCACTGACCCTGTGCTCCTACTCTTGATTTTTCTTTCTTGGTCTTCACTGGCTGTGAATAATTTGTGTCTTATTATATACAAGGCATGACATATATTTACTTATTTAAAATCTTTGAAATCCACCCTCGCTTTAATGAAACAGCCTAGTTTAACAATGAGTTTAATCACTTTGTCTATAGTGATTTGAGAAATTAGTCATTAATAAATACATTTCTTTGGTTGTATTAAATATTTATTTTAAATTTATTATTACAGAATAAGTCGTATTTTTTTAAAGTGGCTCCTATGTTCTTGTTGGTAACAGAATAAAGAGATGCTCCACTTGAAATATAATAAATTATTGGCAAAGTATTTTGCCCAGCATGGCCTTGGGTTTGGTCCTAAGCTTTAAAAAGTAAGGAAGTAAATAAATAAATATTTTAGAATATAATGTATATGGCAAAGAATTTGGACATGTTCAAGGTCATGCTTTGAGTCTTCCTAGAAATCAATTAGATTTATAAGAATAATAAAATTTATATGCTCAAAATGTTGCGTCACAAAGCCTTTTGTCACTCCACAATGGCACACTATTGATCACAAGAGTGGGCAGATAAAGAGGATAGCTTTAAAACACTTGAAAAATTAGAAATATAGACCCTGACTGTGGGTGATTAGTGGTCTTTTTAAATGAAGGATAGCAGGGTCGGGCTAGAAAATATTTCACGGTCTACATGCATAAACTGGGGCAGCTGCTCCTTTTCTTAAGTCCTTGTTGCCGTTGCAGCAGTCTTATCGATGTCTCTCGGTAACTGCAGAGCATATGCTCTGTAACACGCACTGATGTAAAGCTCCATTAGTGGAAGGTTTACATCTCATGGCCTTTTTTTGGCCCCACCTTAAAATATAATATCTTATTCTTAATGTAGGCCAGGTTTGTGTGCAGAATAACATTCCCAGCTTGAAAGCACTTTTTTAAAAAAGTGAATTACTTTGTTACATTATGCAATAGCCAGATTTTTAGCATTCATGTCATTGCTATGAGAAAATTGATAAAGATGGGCTCGTTGATAATGTACTATTGGATTAAAATTTACAGAAAATTTCCAAAGTGAGGCTCGAGACCTTTATAGTTCTAACTATGGGTTGTTTTTATTACACCATACGAGGAGTTGAAATGAGCATGCTATCATCACTTGCTAGTGTAATAGTCAGGCTGCATCATGGCCTAGGGGCTCCTACAAAGAGTAAAAATGCATTAGTGGTGTGCACTTCCTATTGAAAGTTGCTTTGGCGAGGCCTGGTATATGTTGCTGTATTAGGGAAAGTGTGTGTGGAGGGGTATGTGACTGCAAAGAGGATGGAGAAGAAAAATAAAGGGGAGGAAAAAGAGAACGGATGCTTTCTGTAAAAAGAAAAGTTAACGAATGTAAGAAGAATGACGATATCAGGGGAAAAAACTGCAAAGCCAAATGAAGAAAGGGTCACCAATTGAAGGTAACCATTATGGTAGCAAGATGTGAGGTCAGAGTTGGGCCTGACATGTTAGCATTTTATTACAAAATTAGCACAATTATAATAGAGACGTGGCAGGACATAAACAAATAACAGGACTAAGTTTTACCAAGAGTGGGACAAACTGACATCATTTAGCTTCTAATATAACACAGAATTTCCACTAATGTCATTAAGGTGATACATCTGAAATATAGCTGTGAGGGAGCTGTATCAGGAACGGGGCCATGCTGCTGGCTAGTTGTCTAGGACTTTTCAAAATTTAAGTATGCTAACAGGGGAGACTTCAGCAAATGTGAACTTAACATGACTAGAGTTAGGTCAACTAAATGTACTGTCTGAATATTGAGAAGGCAAAAACAAGCTATAAAGGAAATGGGGTGTGAATAATTTATTTGATGGTTTACTTTGCTGAATTGAACTAAATATCCTTAAGAATGATAGTGGTATTATGACTTGCAGAAGAATATTTTAGTTTGGAAGCTATGTTTACTGAGCTATTTAGGAACAAGGAGCCTGCAATAAAAAGCCTTATTTTCAAGTTACTACAGAAAAATTACACACAGACTCAAACACACACACACACTCACACACACATATAGCGATGTATTTTTTAAATAATTTTATTTTATTAATTACGCTTTATTCACTTTGCATCCTCCCATAAGCCTCTCCCTCCTCCCCTCCCTATCCCACCCTCCCTCCCCTCTCTTCACGCATGCCCCTCCCAAGTCCACTGATAGGGGAGGTCCTCCTCTCCTTCCTTCTGATCTTAGTCTATCAGATCTCATCAGGAGTGGCTGCATTGTCAACTTCTGTGGCCTGGTAAGGCTGTTCCCCCCTCAGGGGGAGGTGATCAAAGAGCAGGCCAATCAGTTTATGTCAGAGGCAGTCCCTCTTCCCATTACTATGGAACCCACTTGGACACTGAACTGCCATGGGCTACATCTGTGCAGGGGTTCTAGGTTATCTCCATGCCTGGTACTTGGTTGGAGTATGAGTCTCTGGGAAGATCCCTGTGTTCAAATTTTCTGGTTCTGTTGCTCTCCTTGTGGGGTTCCTGTCCTCTCCAGATCTTACTATTTCCTGCTTATTATATAAGATTCCATGCACTCTGCTCAACAGTTGGCCATAAGTCTCAGCATCTGCTTTGATAGTCTGCAGGGCAGAGCCTTTCAGATGCCCTCTGTGGCAGGTTCCTAGGTTGTTTCCTGTTTTCTTTTTCTTCTGATGTCCATCCTCTTTGCCTTTCAGGATGGGAATTGAGCGTTTTAGTCAGGGTCCTCTCTCTTGATTAGTTTTTTTAGATTTTACAGATTGTACAGATTTTAGTAGGTTTATCCTATGTTATATGTCTATATGACTGAGTATATACCATGTGTATCTTTCTGCTTCTGGGATAGCTCACTCACAGTGATCCTTTCCAGATCCCACCATTTACCTGCAAATTTCATGATTTCCTTATTTTTCATTGCAGAGTAATACTCCATTGTATAGATGTACCACAATTTCTGCATCCATTCTTTTTTTGTTTCCAGCTTCTGGCTATTACAAATAAAACTGCTACAAACATGGTTGAGCAAATGTCCTTTTTGTGTACTTGAGCCTCTTTTGGATATATGCCTAGGAGTGGTATGGCTGGATCTTGAGGACAAACTATTCCTAGTTGTTTGAGAAAGCACCAGATTGATTTCCAGAGTGGTTGTACCAGTTTACATTCCCACCAGCAGTGGAGGAAGGTTCCCCTTTCTCCACAACCTCTCCAGCATGTGTTGTCACTTGAGGTTTTGATCTTGGCCATTCTGATGGGTGTAAGGTGAAATCTCAGGGTCGTTTTGATTTGCATTTCCCTGATGGCTAATGACGTTGAGCATTTCTTTAAGTGTTTCTCTGCCATTTGATATTCCTATATCGAGAATTCTCTGTTTAGCTCTGTACTCCATTTTTTAATTGGATTACTTGGTTTGCTGCTTTTCAGCTTCTTTAGTTCTTTATATATACTGGATATGAGTCCTCTGTCAGATAAAGGGTTGGTGAAGATTCCCAATCTGTAGGCAGTCATTTCTTGTTTTTTTTTTTTTTTTTTTTTTTTTTTTTTTTTTTTTTT